AAAGTTCAGACACGTACTCCAAACCCATTTGCCAATCACTTTTAGTCCATCAACGACACGTCGTAGCCTTCAGAATTTGCATCACATTGTGCGAATTCCGAGCGCCGATACTGCATTCGCGCTCGCAGCTGGGTACTGCTATCGTCAAGATGTCCATCCCGCACACGATTAGCCAGAAGACCGGACTGTTGCCAGTTTAGCATCAAGCTGAGGTCTGATTGGCCGTAAGTGTGGACCCACCAGCCAATCACGACCAAGTACCCAAGTGCCAATGCCGCATCCAGAAGACGTCGGAATTTCCAGCTTATTGTCACCGCACTGTACACGTGTTCTTGCCTGATTCTTGGCGTTAATGCACGTTGTGCACCTCTGGTGGTTTTTGTGACGGGAACACTAGCTTGGGCGGTCCGGACCGAGGACCAACCCGAGACTTTTCTGTTGTCACACAGATGGCGATCTCAGGGCACGAATCAGTTCGAATTAATTTTCTGTACGAGTGCGCTTGTGGTATATGAGCTTATGCACAGTGCATCCACATATCCCCGGTGCGTGTAACCCTTACCCCTGTATCGCCCTCCTTTAAATTGCTGGGTGCTCACGGACCCTTAGTCTTATGTACCACCCTTCCTGACCCAATTTTTACATCAACCTTTCCGCTTTTAGCCATTTCCACTTCATGATGCTTGGTAATTCCAACTTCCCAGCCATAAAACAGATTTTCCACCTCGTTTAGTTTTCGATCGGGTCCATATACTCTACTAGGTGGTACTGACCCTGCTGCAGCCATGGTTCCGCTACGAGTGACTTCCGTTGCTAGACCTTATATTCACAATCGAGCGATCAATTATATCCAAGGTCGGATTTCGCTCCTAAGCCCAATTGGCCGCGCTATGCTATCACGGAAAATACACTGAAAAATTACCGGAGAACTGCGCCTCCACATAGCAGATATTCGCCCCTTAGCCTGACCAAGGCTCTCCGACCCCTGTCCTGAAAGCCAAAAGCTCGAAATCGCTACCATGATCTAGGAAGCTTGCCAGTTCCAAATTCCCGGCCATCACCGTCGCCGTAAATACCACAATTTGCTCTGAAAAAGCATACTGTGGGCGCCGTAAATACCACAATTTGCTCTGAAAACTCCTCAGTCAAAAAAGCATACTGTGGGTGCGTTGCGCCCGAACCCAATGTGCAGTCAATTGTTCAGCCGCTGTGATGGCGTTTCAGGTTGGAGACGCATCCTACGACGTCACTTGGTGCCATCTATCGGGCCATCTTAATTGCTTCATACACCAGCTACCTCTATTCCTCTCCTCACATCACGTATTTCTTCTCACCTACGCCGCCACAATGTGAATTCTCCGCCTACATGCAGCATCATTAGGGTTAGTCGCTTTGTTCGTTTCGCCTGATGTTCGGCTGCAAGTTATGCGCGTTCACCTTGAGTAACGACCATAAACACCATACTGATGCGGAAGCTTCCGACCCCTATGTCACGAAGCAGTTGAGTTTCCCAGCTGGTTTCAGGTTTCCATCAGATGCATTAGCAAATTTATGCGGTCGATTGGTTGCTTTCCAATCACGTTCCGGGTTTGTTTTAAAATCAGATGGAGGTCAGATTCTGTATCGAGTCGGAAGGTAACCGGTCTACCATTGATGCACAGAGTGAAGAATTTTCGTCGACCTTGCGTGCGTTATTTCGTCATGCTGATATTGGCGCGAGCTCATGAAGTCATCTTTGCGGTATTCTTTCTTTTCGGTTGCACCTGTGGTTCCGGTGAGGATAGTGGCGTGAAACGTGCCATTCTTTACAAATTCGGTAAGGTGTGAGATCCGTTTATAATCTGACTGCTTCTTGGAGTTTATCTTGTACACCGTGTCTGACTGAATGGACTAAGGATGTTCAGTCACTACGGCATCATCCTTGGGGTTGGTAGGATGCTGGTGGCCAGTTTCTAAATTGTCAACTCCCGATATTGAACCGGGTCGCCTTACTTTCTTCATACTGTATGGTGGATAATTGAAAACACGCTACTGCCTGCGCATCCACTCTTCGTTTGTTCTTCGCCCCATTGCTAGCGACCTCCACTTAGACTCACTTTTAACGGTCGGTGTGCCCTTTCACCGCCCATGGCCGTTAGCTCCAATATCTACAGTTGGCTGGGTCGCCCCGACTGTAGACACTTCGAAATCATTCAAACACCGGTCTTCATTTCATCTGGAATTCTTAAGAGAGGATTCAAAACCCAGGTACAGTTGGTGAACTGGCCTCCCCATCGGTTTCCTCTCGTTTCTTGTTGCACACTTCTGGTGATCCAGAAACCGCTACGGCTGGTTCTGTTTGGTTTGGCGTTGTTCCAAGCCACTGAGCTGATGGATCTTTGCCTGAGTGGTTGCCATTTGGTAGTCGCATTTGTGCGGTCCGCTTGGCAGCGTCTGCGAGAGTATTCCGTAAACGCGCTGATAATCACTGGCTGTTCACATCCCAACAGACTAGTTCTAATACACTCAAAAACAGTTTTTACAATGTTTCGGCGCCTTATTGTAGTGGGCTAAGAGTTCAGACATTGTTGTAGCCCTCGGTACCATGACAACTATGTGGATTCGCGTCATGCACTTGTTCGTTGCTGGCTCCCGCTGTTCTTTTCAGAGGCGCGCAAGATACGCATACCTTGCCTGGTCACTAAGAGGCTCTCGACCTTGATGTGAAGCATACCTACACAAGCTACCTATTGAAGTCCCTTTCGGAAGCCACTTCTTCTGATGCTAACTCTTACACTGAAGGGTGCTATCTAAAACCCTGCAAGATGCTTGGCACTCTGCTTGTGGGCAGACGCAACCACAACTAGATCTAAGCACTGCATCTTAAGCAGCCCTCCGAAATTGCTCGAAGGTCGGACACGTATTCCTCTTCGTCGAGTGTAAGGTCGAAGAACTATCAAACATCTGTGCGTATCGAGAAGATGGGTGGATCCGGAAAGCAGAAAAGATGGAGGCCAGAAACTATTCTAGCTTATACGCACAACAGGCTCAAAGAAGCTTCCCGTAAGTGAAACGGTCGATGTAAACTGTTAGCCGATATCGGAGAGCACGCAAATGGTTGGACTGAACACCCTCAACTGGACCCCCTCTTATTCCCCACAAAAAGTAGGAAGTGCATGCACTACCTAAAAAGCTTAACGAGGCCTTCTCCAGCATGTCTTTTGCGCCCATGAATTGCAAAGCTATGTTACTGGACGTACGGTCTTTGAAAGTGCCTCCAAATTCAATGAGTGACACGAGACTGGAACGTATCTCGGAAATTGTATTGGCTCTGACGGTATTGCAAAGACAAAGTATCCGCATGGATCTCGAGGGTTTGAATTAGGATTACCAGTTTGCACCGCCTGTGGAATCAAAAAGGCGTATCGCCTAGTCTCAAAGGACGTGTATGTCAGACTACAGTGCGGGATGTATTTGCGTAAAACTGTGAGAGTTCACCTTTTCGGACAGATCTGAAACATCTCCGGGTTTTCCACCATCGACGTGTCAGAACTTTAGCTGGGACTAGCTGAAGCCAGTGGATCCGGAATAAGAAGCAGTCAGTGCTTCACTCAAAAAAATGTTCTAGAACTGTAACTTAAAGTAATTGGTCCATGTGTTGCGCATGCTGGGACGAGTGCTGTTTTCCCCGTCCGATTTCGAGTGGCGGAAACCTAGGGTTGGACGGAATTTGACATAGCAGAATGGATTGAAACCTGTTGCAAAAAGTTTGGGCGCTGTTAGTGCTTCGCGCATCCCAGGATGGGGTCTACGTGGCCCCTTATGTCTGGTTGAAGACACTAAGCGATTGTTTGTAGTAGGCAAGCCCTAGTTATTCCTCCCTTCCCCATTTCCTTTTCTCCATAATAAGGCTTTATTCGAACAAATTGACATGTTTGTGCGGCAGTGAAGCATCAGTGCTCTCATATGATGTTCCTGTCGGTGGTGGCGATCATGGTCTCAGGCCTTAAGCACCCACATTCTTTTTTGACCACACCGGTACACGTATCAGATCTCCAGTATCTCACTTGGTGGTCCCGAGTTCGAGATAGCCCGTTGGTTAAGGCGCAAACTTACTGACCGGAAGATCAGTGGTTCAAACCTGTCTTAGGTATCTCGGCTGCTCCTGTCTAGGCTTGGGCAACCTGGCAGTATCTCTGTCCTCGTGCTTTCTTCGAGTGATATGGTAGCTAGGTTCCAGGGGGTTGTTACGGCTGGTCAGTTGTTATTTATTTATTTTGCAATTCTCAGATATTGATGGTGCATATTGGACAAGCGTCTCTGTTTGCCAAATACTTTGGCAGGACCTTGTTGATGTCTGTAAGAGTTTAGGGAGTATGAAATTTGGGAACCGATCGTGTTCAGCTATTCGCGATTTCCGAACAACCATCCGAAATTCCCATGCGTCATCATGTCCTCATATTCCTTGAACCAACTTTCGAGAGTTCGTTGAGATTCAGCGTCAAGATTGAAACTGATGATCCTAGTCGCAGCAGCATCTGTAGAAGAGGACAGAGACCCAGCTGTTTTTTTCACATTTACCGAAATATTTCTGATCATATTTTCAATAAGCCCCGTTTTAGCCTCTTAAACCTGAAATGACGACAATTTTCAACAGGTGTTCTGGCTGCGAAACGTGGCCTCCTCGTGCAAAGGAACTGTGACGTCTTCGAGCCTTCGATCACCACTGTCTCAAAATGATAGCTCATGTAGCCTGGTATTTGTGAACCCGTAACAGGGAAGTTGGAAAGGGAGTATTCGGTTGTGTGACGGAAGCTTCCTTCGAAGAATGTGTCGAGCACCAGAAGCTGTGTTTAAGCTTCGCACTTCGCCTGCCGAATCATCGTTTACCGAAAAGAGTGCGTTTTGCCGTGCCCAATCCAGAATGACGGAAGCAGGAAGGTGGCTAATCTTCAACCTGGCAGACGAGTATGAGAGAGATTAAGAAAAGTCAGAGTAGTGTCAGTGTGACGCCTTCCAGAATGTGGACCGCGTGTTTTCTACTGTTTTTCGCTGCGCCGCAAGATATGGCTGCTAATCAGTGTCGGTGGTTTTCCTATTGTCATTTCCTATCTGTCTGGAAGTGTAGGCACCCCGGAATGGTTGTGGTAGGCTACCACTACGTCCCTCATCCATCACTTTTATTCTTTTCTTCACATTGAGGCCCTCAAATAAATCATGTTTGTGTGGCAGCGAAGCACTATTGTTGAACGTTGATGGTGACCATGATGTTCTGAATTGTAATGTTACTCAACTCGTCTCTAGGTCTATTCATATTTTGGCTCCGCCGTGGTTTCATTGATTCTCGTAGCATTTCTCTCTTATTTGGGCAACTTTGCAACTTCATGGGGAGACCGCCATTTCGCTAACCTCAAGTTTTTCTAATTTCTGATTTCCGGCTCTTTGTTGTGTATTCAGTTTCGCTATGTTGACTACATTAACGTACAAACTAGCCGATGCGTGTCAGCTGTGTTGAAACCGTCTGTGTTTGTTTTCCCTTTGTCACAACACCGTTTTTTTCAACAGCATTTCTAGGAGCTTGAACATAATGAGTGACTCCGATTCTTCAGACTGTGACCTACTTGTGCAAGCACTTCCAGTGCCGGACATGGAATCCGATGAACCCCCCGACATCCAGAAGGCAATGACCTCTCCGGAAGAATATATTCGTCTTGTTCGGTAACCAAGTTCCACTCACTGTTATTTATCTTGTTTCCAGATACGAAGCCGCTAGCTATCCATCTGTGCTACACGCCCCGATCGACGCCGCAGACGTTTGTTCCTCTGCACTCGCAACGAACAATAATGCATCTGTCTCTCCTACCTTCGTTTCAGACGCTCACGATGATCTTCTGGCTACCTTTGTTGATCTTGTTCAAGCAAGTATCTCTTCTAACCTTTGATACTATTTTTCAGGAGTATAGAGCTTTAAAATCTCTTGTAACTGAAGACTGCAAGCAGGTGAGCCTCTTCTACCTCATGGTTATTCGCTGCGCCCCACTGAAATTTTCACCCGGAAAATGACTTAAGGGATCTTAATCTGGTTTCTCTTATTCTGCTCTTGTGATCCTCATACGTACTTGTTAGTATAGACAACTTAATTTAAAGTTGCCGATCCCCACAACCACTGGAGGTAATGCACTAGGGCGAATGGAATGTAAACCTTGATCGCCCTTCAGAAGAAGAAATAGGGTACGAAATAGCCGTACGGAAACGTGAGAAGGCGCCAGGACCGGATAGTCTGTGTCCATCCCTCTTCAAAGAAGACGGAAAATCCCTGGTGACCCACCTGACAAAGCTTATTGGTGTTATATGGGACGAAGAGAAAGTGCCTGCAGAATGGGGCATGTCGACGGTTATCCCCATCTTCAAAAAGGGTACGTGGACGCTATGTGAAAACCAGCGTGGCATCAGCCTGTTAACTGTGGCATCGAAGGTGCTCTCTGGCCTTATCCTTCGAAGGTTGACTGAACACAGGGGGGCAGATCCGTGTAAACCAAGCTGGGTTCCGTCCTGCAAGAGGTTGCATCGATCATATTTTCACCCTCCGACAGATTCTGGAACAGCGACACTGCTTCCAGAAAGCCAAGCCAGCGTAACCTATGCAGTGTGATAGAACCGGAATCCGCAGACGTAAATAGTGGGCTCACGTTTACTGGGAATTATTTCAACCTGATCAATCTGTCTTGTCTTCATGAGCGGTCCTCATCTGCAGTTAATGCGAGACAGCACATCATCCCAGCAGGTGGAGTAAGCCATGTAAAGGTAACCGAGTAGTCTGACCCTCTGTAATGTTCAACAGAGAGCGTTTGAGAACGTTTCTGATGGATTTATTGAGTGAGCTAATCCGAATCTATTGGCTATGACAGTAATTTCATTCAACACCTTGCTTTCTCCCGATTATCTTTCAAGTCGAAATGGACTGTATCGAGGCCTGAGATGCAACTTCGAACGAAATTCTAGTGACGTTTGGTGGCCACTTTTGTGATATCCTTGAAAAACCTCATGTTATTTTGGAGTGTTCTGCGTGTAAATGTCGTTGCTGGCTACCGGGCACAGGTAATTCACGAAACTTTCCTATCCTGTCCTGGAAGTTAGTTGGGCTCTTCGCTACCGGTTCGTACTGTTTGAATTGCACTTGTGTGGGACATTGCGTCGCCCAATATCAACCGCATCCTCATTTTGAACATTCCTTTGGGTAAGGCAAACGCCTGCTAAACTTCGTGGAAAGATTGACAATAAGTCGCTCGTGACCGCTCAACTCCGGTTCCAAAGATTACGGGATTAATAAGCAACATAGGATGAATCAACTTGGCGAACTTGACGCCTCGGAAAGCTCTCAATCCTATTTGTCTATCCTACAAATTTCCATTCCCGATCTGTTTTTTGCAACCTGTTTTTCTCATACATCCTTTTCAGCCGCTTTCTTCGGATTCGTTAGAAAATCCTGACCTACTGGATCAACCGCCTACTTTGCAATCGATTGCTCATCTAAGCAGGGTAACACTGTGAACTTTTACCCAAGTGTCGATAACCTATTTAAGCCGGAACTTTTTTCTGTGCTGGAACTCGTGGCCTCGAAGTGCACAAAGAAGCGTTGGAAGTCAAGTATGGTACGTCTTTCGTTCATTCACTGCCGAATTCTTCCATCTCTAATTTCGATTTTCCAACATTCCGGATCCCCATCTAATTACCACCTTTCTTGTTGCTTCAACCGAATTTGAGAATGTGTAGAGGCTATCTTGTAGCCTCCCTCCCTCGCGTGCATCCTCATCTGAAACACACCATTTCGAATCAGATAGTAGACACTGGTGACAATGTATCGACTTTGCGTCAATTTCTTGAAACCGTTTAATTTTTCCCGTCTGAATTAGGGTTTGACCGAGTCGAGATAGAACTTTTCAGTGGATATACGTACCCGGTGTATCGAGTGCGCCATTAGGTACTGTAGTGTTCCGTCTTCACAAGAAGCCATTCTAGAGCAACCAACTGGTTTCCAATTTCGAGGCGTTCCTTATTTGAAGATCCGGTCCAAAACGGAGCAGCAGACAAGCTATACCATGAGAATCTCATTTTATAACGTTATTGGATGAACTTATCATCAGTCGCCTTGGGGTCATGCAGTCATGCCTACATTTCCCTCTGGTTTCTGTCTATACGAATAGCTACTTGTTCGCATGCTTCTGGGTAGCCTTCGTCTTCTCAAAAATCTCGCGTACATGCACTCCACCCAGTTTTACCCATCTGTTTCGTTATCAGCTCCCCAATTCCTAACGGGTTTTGGACAATCATCAGTCTTCTGCGTATTCTTATCTAGCACTCAGTTCATTTCTAACTGGTCTACTTTAGTGGACTTCTTTACTATCATACCAGATCATCACAAATACTTTTTTCCCGAGATCTTATTCTTTTTTTCCTATTCAGACGCCATATTTTGCTTTCCCTTTGAGGTGGTTTTCGGTCTTGCTTAATCAGTAGCGGTGCCACTGGATACATTCACAGTGACTGTATGGTCTATCACGCAAAAAGACTAATATTTTTCTTGCATGTGGCGTGAATGTCCACCAATTCAGCAAACAGTCCTGTGCAATTTTGCTGGTTGACCTGTGCAGCACAGACGCAGATCTTCTACTTTAGAAAACTTGGCTTACGGTTGTATGTGGAGACCTATAGTGAGCAACCTAATGTTTTCACATTCCTTTATTTTTTCTATCTAGTACGTGTAGTCTTGAAATTACTTTTGACAAATTCCTCAAAATAAATAGTCTTCAGTTTTGGGTATAAAATTCCAGATATGGACTATTTCCAAGAAAGGCTATCATCACCACTTCAAATTGAGCTGAGCGGATGGATTTGAAATCCTCCGTTGAAGGTTGCGAATCGCTTGATTATTCTCAAATGATGCTACTTTAGTGGGAGGATGTATTGTTGTTAAAATTAGGGTGGTAAATTTTGCCGTTGTGCTGGTGTTATGGATAACACTTTTTTCCGATTTTCGGATACATGGATGCCTTGTTATTGTTTGGACTGCAGCACTAAGACCAAAGGCATACACGTGTTTATTCCTAATATGCATCGCCTCAGTTGGCTCCAACTGAGCCCAACCATACGTATCGACGGCGTTACGTCTCGTTTCGTCTTTGAAACCTCAGCCATTCGGCGGCATCCCGATTACGTTTTGAATGGGTGGCCTCCTGATGCAGTAGGCGAACCGCTCGCTGATCCACCCTCTCCAACCCAAACCCTATTTGGATCTGACTTGCTCACTAAGGTGTCCCAATTTTCGAGAAATACACACATTTGCAAATTAATTTGGTTTTCACAAGAGACTCATTTGAATCTCTCGTTTATGATACTCTACAACTTAATGTGCTGCACACAGGCCCCCTCATGATTCAGTTGGCGCGATATTCGAGATATCGCAGTATATTTTCACAAAGGAAACTACTCACAAGGTTGCTGTCGAAGAGTTTTCATCAAGGTTGCTGAAAACTTTTCGACGGCAACCTTGTGAGTAGCTCCCTTTACGTTCAATTTTCTTCAATGGACTAATTAGAGTGTGAATGCGCGTGAGAATATAAAGCTGTCAAGGCAACAACAGATGTATATTAGTTACTGACCTAGTAAGTTAATATGTCTAATTGGCCTAAGGTCGTGTAACCTATGGAGACTTTGTTTCAGCCTCAGTTTCACGGAAATTGTGCAATTTGTGCTTAGCTGTACCCTACGGAGAACAGACCTAAATTATCACGTCTGAACAGGTGAAAATGTTCACGCTTGACTGATGGGATTGGTTCGCCCAACTACCCTTTAGCTGTTCTGGTTGTATTGATCGGCTGACTCCCTTTTGTTATGGACTCATCTGAGTAATGGCGCCAGGTCAGGAGAAAGGCAGCTATAGCAAAAGTGGTGTGGATGTGAAGTGGAACAGAATCCTATTATCCTATTATTGTCAATGTTCCTCTCGCGTACAAAAAGAACGCTGGTTTAACGATCCACAATTAGTAATTGGCTGAGGTGTTCTAGCATAGAGCTTACTTATGAAGGGTGAGTTCGAATGCATAAATAATGGTACCCCGCCTGACAGGTTGATACCAACCATACCGCCTACGTATTACCACTCGCACTCAAACATGGATGCAATGTTTGGTTTGGCCCGTCGTCCTTTGGTTCGAACCCAAGTGCACACAATTCTGGTGGGATCGAGTGGTGACGAAACAATGGTCATGTCTGGCTAGAAATTCGCGAAAATGGTGGTCATCTGTTTACATGAAGCTTACGAATTTGTATGTAGCACTGGCCATTATCAGATCTAATGGAGCTTTAAGCTGGATGACGTGATTTTTCATGTTTTTGTAACTGGAAATATGGCTTTAACCTTTTTACCCTTTGCGCTTCATGAATCTACGTTTGTTGCCAAATATGAATGCGATCCGGTCGGTGTGTTCACCTTCTAATCATTTCTCTAGCACCCTCTTATCCCAGTGTGGTTGAATAGCGTTCAATCACCAGCGGGTTGTGAGTAGAGCGCAGCGCTCACAGGATATGCGCCCCACTTCTTTCCTAGACTTGGCAGTGAACGGAAGGGCTCCACACAAAGCGATAGATGTTTTTTTGCTAGTTGGTAATTCGTAGTTTGTGTTTATCAAGTTCGGTATTCTGTCAATCCGACTGACTCTCCCTGCAACAGCCGCATGACTACATGATTTCCATGAGAAGTAGTTTGTCCTTTTCTTGGTCCCAATTCACTTCAGTCACCTGTTGGACAAGATATTATTCACGGTTTTCTCGAAGTTATTACGGCGGGGTTGTGCTATATCTCTTCTACCATGATGCTTATACGGTTTGTATCGTTTTTTGCAATCCCAATTGTTCAGGCTGTTTGGATTCTGTCTTTGATGATGGCTTTGGAGCCTCCTCTGCATCCTGATATTCATCACTTGCTACGCACCATTGCCAGGCGGTGTCGTAAATTGAAAAAGGTAGGTCTCTTGTTTTTCACCCAATTGATTACTTATATGAAGGAGCTTGAATCGGATAAGAAAAGTTCGGAAGATGACCTGTTTTTCGGCCTCTGTCCAATTCTCGTCGCACGAAACTTTGGTCAGTTGGACCTTCTGGAGTCCGCCTGAGACAATCGTCTTATCCTTCCCCAACCATGTATATCTTTATCGTGGGGAATCGTGACATTGGGCTATCATCCGGTGTACATACATCCAGTTTTTTACCTTTCAACCTGTCTTTTCCGCTTTCTACATAAAAAAACGGTAACTGGCGGTTTCGAGATAATAGGTATTTCTCACTCTCTTTTTTCTAAATCCTATCAGATCGTTCAAAAACTTGGCTGGCGCTCGATCGAGGACGTAAAATTCGTGCACGGGTTTTTGCACTGTTTATTTACAGACTGCTCCAGCGTTGTGACAGATAGAGTCGATCATAGATTTACGGTCGTGAATTTTGTCCGATGAGGACGCTGTGGTCTTCTTACTCTTGGTTGCACTATCATGCTCTTCATGGCTCTCCAATTGGCAGCATATCGAATTATTGGTGGCTTGGCTTCGTTAATTGGTTCTAGGTCATGTAGCTGCTGATGTGTTCGCCGAGCTTGTCCTTTTGCTCGCAGTTACCAATTATGGGGACATCAATTTACGGTTGTCTCCACGATTGGTGACGAAATGTCTGCAAGCCAATTGTTCAGCTCGGTTGGTTCCATTATTTAATCGAAAAGGACTGGGGATGATCATATCTTTACCCTACGTAGAATGGGATCACTGGATTCCTCACCATACACCTGTAACTGGGATTTGGTGGCAGAGTAGTGCGACCACGTCTGTTGTGTCATTCAGCTGTAGCACCCTTTCGGTGCCTAACCGCCATGCCACCTGAAGGAAGCACGAGGGCTGGGATACTGTCAGGTTACCCAAGCTAAGACAGGGGAAGTCGAGAGGTCTTCTGTCTTTCGTCATTATGTTCCACATTGAATCGTGGTCTGTTGATTCCTAAGCTGTGCGAAACTAGACGAAACACGCTGGCTATATGTTCGAACTGAAGGCGGTGTTCCGATATTCGCCGCAGGGAAAATATCCTATCAACGTATCCTCTGTCGGGATGGAATCATCTTCAATTAGATGAAGCGCCATAAACCAGCTTGACAGGAATAATGTGAGGTTCTACAGTGGTATCTACTAAGCTGCTGCCTCGATAGCTCTCGCAGATTATCCTAACACCCTAGTGAATAGCAGTAGGATCGAAGTATTCCAATCAGCTGGAAATACTACAGATGGACAGGCTGGGTGCCTGAGTGGTTGGTCGGTTGACTGAAATGCCACATACGTCTATAGCATCTTCACCCAGTCGCGGTTGCCTAGACCGATTGCTTCTTAATTTGGAGGGCTGTACCCTGACAAGCGCATTTAGGTTCTTCATGCCTTTTGATACTCGATCTTTGGTGAAATTTTGACTTGTGTCGAGTTGGGCCAGGGCAGCCCAGTGTATCTTGAGCCGCTAGACCGAGCTAGTCACTAGTTTGGTGCTTTGCACATCGCTTAGCGATCGATAACAACCGTTTTTGAGCAAATTAACAATAAGATAGTTCCGGTAGTATTGCTTGGCCTATGGCGGTTAGATACTTGCAAGGACAAACAAATTATGTGACCCGTTTTGTTACCAGCGTTTGCCCCTCTATATGGTCTACAGCCTTCATTGAAGAAGGCAGCAGGAGTTAACCAAGGCTTTCCTGGTCAGTTGGGCGCCATGCCAGGAGGTGTTAAATGCGTGTATCGGAGACACAACAGTACCCACCAGATGTTCGCTGTTTTCAATCAGTTGATCCGTGCGAAATTGTCCTTGACTATGGCGTGTAATGCCGCGGGCTGAATCAGTCCGAGCGTCCCCATCGCCCTGGATGTCCCGTCCGGATATCGGATTTACGAGTCTAATTGGTCAAATTATTCATCCTTTATTAGCATTTCCTCGGGGATTTGAGGAAGACATTCGTGTTTTGAGGCACAATGATTTCCCTTAGAAAGTTGTCCGTCGTTCCCAATTTTTATCACCGGGTCCCCAGCACGAGGGAACGCCTGGCCAAAACTTAACACATGTAGAATGTGCCTACTTTGATTTGTGTTGTCACCCACATTGGCAAAATATCTCCTGAATAAACCATAACAACATATCGTTTACCCGATCAGAATGCTCCAGAGCCTGCAGTTGGTTTCACCCAGCTGCAAACAAATCACTGGGTCGTTCTCACACAGTCCTGAATTTTATTTTAAACCGAGCTACGCTGTTGGTGGCATGTCTGCTTTCAAAGAATCCCAGTAGAGTTAGAAACTGATTTCATGTAATTTGGACTCCCTGCCGTGTGTACTGGTGCCGCTTCGGACCTCTTCCGAGTTGGTGAGCTCTGTTCACTCCCACAAGTTGCTTTGAGTAACCGAAATTGAGCAATAGCCAGCGGACGTAAAGTGGAATGTTAACGATACCCTTTTGGTGCTATGTGCGCAATTTGAAGACAGAGGTATCAAGAAAATCTCAACAATACAGTACGTTGTGCGTTTGTGAATATCCGCTAATTTAGCTTGCGGATGAAGAAAACAAAGTAATTTGACTCTACTGTAACTTCACGATTGCAGAAGAAGTCAATTCATGAGACCATGGGAACTGTACGCGGCAACACTTACTCGATCCTCTAATCGCTAATCACGTTTACATGGAACAATTATAGCGAGGTCGATTAGGTCCGGAAACGAATGAACAATAAGGCTAACGACAATAGTGAGCCTCTTAGACGTGTCCATCATAATTTTGTTGGAGGTCTGTCGAGATTTTCTGGAATTTCGGGTAACATCCTTTCAGGGGAAGATTAAGTTCCCTTTACAGAAATCATTTACACAAGCAGACGATTTCGATCGATCTTGTTTTCCCTCTAGAGAAGCACTTGATATAAGTGCAAGTTATGTTTCATTTGTCATACATTTCTGTAATCCCAACTTTGGTTCTCTGAAGCCTTTGTGTATTTAACATGGGATGTTCGCTGATTCTTAGTGTTGCGGCGATTATTGTCCGCGCATTTCGGTAGTCAATTTTTTGACTGTCCCTGATGCCTTTATATACCTCATTCATTCTTTTCGTCAAGTAGGTATTTTGTCCGTTCTTCAACTGGGGAGAATCCATGCATGGTGACTTGTAAACTGTTGGTGACTAAAACAGGATTGCTCCACTAGGCAAGTGTCTCTGCGGCCACGAGCGAGAGATGTGATAAGCACTTGTGTGATCTAAAGAGTAAGATTTTGTTGAGTATACCTCATGTTGATTTGGAACAATATCAGGTATCCCGAAGTTCTGGCTGGCATGATGTACAAGCAATGTCGGTGAATTTAAAATGATGACATTATTCAATGTCGTTTTCGAAAACAACATATGTGCTATGTGGAACGAGGTCCGATGTTAGTTCTGTGTACGCAGGTTTGTTCTTATAGTATTACAAGTTTAAAAAATTCCAAAAAAACAGTCCGGAAACAACAGTTATGTTGAATAAGGTCAATAATGGAGCCGAATTTATACTGGTTGCCCACCCCGATCGAGAAAAAAACCAAAATCGTTCATCTGTAACACCATTTTGGCGCCCAACTGCCATGCCACCATAGGGAAACACGAGGACTGGGGTACTCCTAGGTTGCCCAAGCTTAGACAGGAGAAGTCTAGAAGCAGAGCTCGGGTTTGAATCACGGTCAGTAAGTTCGCGTTTTAACCACTGAGCCATTTCGCCCCCTGAGCCCGGTTTGAAACCATTTCTATCTTTACTTGACAGAAAATTAATTTTATCTGCCTGTTACTGGCTCAGTCTATCAGTGTGAGAAGAGTGCCGCGGCCGTGTCAACTCGATGATAACTTCCAAGAGAAGTAAAAACGGTCTGTATTTCGCTGAGGATATCCGTGAAACTTTACATGCTTAAGACACCTTCAGGCTTTGATGACTTTCATTCGTGCGCACCGCATGGACTGCTGAGTACAGCAGTTGCACTCATGGAAAGTCATAATTCGAAATTGTATTGCCTTTTACTGACGGTATCATTCAGCTATAACATCCTTCCGGTGCCTACTGCCAAGCCACTCGAAGGTAGCACGAGGGTTGAGATACATCCAGGTTTCCGAATCCTAGACAGGACCAATCGAGACGCAAAGGCTGAGTTTGAACCACGTGCCTTCTGGTCAACAAGTTCGCACTTCAACCAGTGAACCACATCAAACTTTTTGAAGGACACGATGAGAGTATAGTTAGGCGAAAAAAAGCATGTGAACGATTAGTTAGAATGAAAAAGGTGGTAAACCCTACACTATTATGCCCTACTCTTGTCCTACGTATATCAGAGCTTCCCGAGCACATTTTGAGCCTTAAATTGTATGCCGAACCTGTGGTTTCCTCTGACGGCATACTTCGTGTCCCCAACAGAGCAATTACTCCCACTTCAGATGGAACAATTTACTCTGTTTTTTTATTGTGACAACAAAAAATATGTGAATTGTGGACAGAAACTGGCATGGATTTATAGTGGTCCCCTCGAGTGGTTCCAAGCACCGATTCTCGATATTTAAAATACCTTGAACCCTTCACATTGAACGATCACTTCTGGTCAGTCCCTTGAAGAATACTTCCCTCTCAGAAGACATCACCTTTGTCGATGTTCTCAGGTGGTCTCTGAAGAGAAGGAGAACCGGCACTAGTAATTTATTCCATTCGTTTCCGTGGTGGTCTGCTACTAGTTAAAAAACAGTCGGATAGATCGTCGTGAAAAATCTGTCAGATAATACAGTGCTCGATTGCGCAGCTTTTAATGAGGATGATAAAACTGGATTCCACGTACACGCCTTGTCAGCTGGCGCCCAGTTTATGGAATCGATTTCGTTCGCAAAGAAAGTTGAGTTTAGCAAAGGTCTAATCAGCTGAAAGTGATGCTTCAACATACGAAGTTGTAGTGGAGTCAGAACAGTATTCAAGGAGCTGTAGAAACAAAGGTCGATTTATAGGCTGTGGTCCCGAACTGTTAATCACGAAGGCACCGTTAACGAACTGACGGGCAGTTGCAGTGCGAGCAAAGATGAGTTTGGCTCAGGAGTTGAAACAATACTAGGTAACAATAAGTAAGGGTGAGATACAGCAAGCGTCACTGGGCTTTCTGATCACAAACACCGTCCATTGAGGCACTTGTACTTCTCAAATCGTTCGAAAATTATATCGGAATGGTTACTTCAGTGTTGGAGGACACATGTAGTGATAAACCTCAAGTTAAGCTTATGGTTTACCAACAATATTCTGAATTTGAGTATAAACGACAAGTCGCTTGACTGTGATAAAAGTGGGTATAACGTGAGTGGCAGGTCGATTAGTCCTGAATAACTTACCCCTGGAGGATTCTGTATAACAAACCTTATAATCTCTGTGAATATCGAGATCGTTAAACACATCTCTGCATAGCACCCTCCCCTTTATTATCGCGACTTAAAGTTGTTGAATGACAGCGAACGCTCCTGTGGTCAAACTGGACGTACACTCTATCTGGTCCGCACGTAGGCTTCGTGGTGTCTTATGTACAAATAAACATAAGATCGTCAGAAAAATGACAGATGAAGCAGTCTTCACGTTGCACGTAGAGAAAAAAGACAGAAAATAGCTCTTTGAGGGACAAATGTACATATCTGAGTGTAATCTTGGAAGAGCCATTATAACACGGTTGAGTGGAGAAGCAATCAAGTGGCAAACCCTATGTGTGTAAGCTGATAAGAGCCTCTGTTCTTCACTGTTTAAAAACAAATATTACTTAGATATGGATGTGGTGGCCACTGAACCGACGGTCAGCAGTTTGATCAGCAGCCATGCACCGGTTGATCACACCGCTCCTGAATTTAGTGAGAATATCTTGGCATGGAACGGGCGGCGGTAGATCAGAGTCACGTGCCTCTGTAGCCTCTGAATGAATAGATTTCGTGCACACAAAACGCATAATCTAACGTAACTGCCAGTAATTTAGGTTGTCCACTTGATTGACTTTTGGCATCTAAATACCGCATAGGTAAGTTAGAAATTACTCACGATATTATTCACAATATTTAGGCAGCTAAACGAATGGGTCAAACTGACTTAGCATTCAATGCATAACGATTTGAGCAAGGGTTTGTTGTGAACATCAAAACTTTTCCGCGTTAAAAAAGAACTTTCTGACTTCACTGCCAGGTTTTCGCATGCCAAACTGCGTTCACCATAGATTTCCTAGTTCGGAGTATTTGGTGACCTTAAAAATTTGGGCGCTTGAACAGGAAACCACTGGAATACTCAATTAGGTTAAACTTATCAATATCGGAGGCAAAAGACGCTCATTTTCAAAGTAAGTTGGTGTTAACGAGTGACCCTCCTTTATGCTATTCAATTGAATGTGCAGGAAAAGAGTCTGATGCATAGGAGATATCGCGATTTATCCTGTCATAGCGTGCGTATCCGGCTGATAAGCAGCAGGATCCTAGTGTTTGAAGCGCGGGTGGACACAGGGCTCCAGCGACAAACTCAATAGAGGAGTGAATTAACCCAAGCAGTGAATGAAGCTGAAACAAACAGTTTGGAAATTTGCCCTTTTTAGACGGGTTGAGTAGAGCAATATTCGGACTCTGTGTCCCGAATGAAACCCAATCCTCGAAACGCCAATTCTCGTCCACATGAAGTGCATTTTTTCCTGTTCCGATAAACCAAATAAACAGCTTTAGTCGGTGATTCTGTTCTACAATTGTCTTCTCACACAGAGCCATCCTGGTAGGTAATTACCCCCATAAGGCCTGTCTACCTCTTCGTCTATTATCATCTGGACTGCATTTGACGAGAGGAACCTGAGCTGCTGATCTTTTGTCTCCTCATCTGGGATCGGTAGACAAGCGTTCAAGAAAGCACTTTCATAAAAGAGCTGTTAATTCCAACCTAGTTAAAAGGACATGTTGATTTCAGCGCCACTGAACTACTTCGTCTCAGTGTGTGGCTCAGTTTTTTTTCTAAAACTGTCCAAAATTCGGGAATTTATACCATATGTTCTTAGTTCCGCAACGACCAGCTTTGCTCACATGGAAGATTGTGAGGGACCATTATCCTGTGGCGAATTATGCGGACT